AAAATCCGTTGGCGGTGTCGAACACGAACGCACGCGATACGGTAATTTTTCTTCGCCGGGGCTTTCGCTCTTTACATTTTAATTTTTTCGCGTGTCGGACGCGTTTTTCGGGCGGGCGGCCGGGACGTTCAATAAACCGCGACACGCATCGGTGTGTCGAGTTATGGAGAACATTAACTTGCCAGTCCCTCGCTGGAAACACACCCGAGGGTGGCGAACGGTCGGAAAACTAATTTGAAGTTTAGCGCAGCGAAAAAGAAAAAACAACAACAACAACAACCCACCTCGATAAACACGTACTTTTAATTATTAATTCCTCACCGCCGACACGGCGCCGACATGACATAATGCGCGACATGTTTGCGACACGAAAATATGCTGTCATTGTTGCATTATAAATTATAAATAATCAACTTTATTCATATTGTATCTTGTAATAGGGTATTTGCATGATTAAAACGTGCTTTCCACGTATGCATTAGTTTGGAATTGTCGCCGTCTTCAGATTAAGTGCATTTTAAAGCACAATTTAAGTAACAACTTCTCCGAAATTTATTCATGCAGAAATTTAGCCGAGACTCCATCATCAACTTGCTCTAAATCTTGTAAATCCGGGTACACCGAGTGGAGTAGTGCACAACGAGAGCAATCCACTCGACACTCGACTGAAACGCTTCGTCGCCTCGACGCCATGGCAATCCGGCGTTTATCCTGTTTTCCTTGGGCGTATCACTTTTTTTCGACGCTCACATGAGTGCAGCTTCATTTCGCGCGCTCGTGCTGACGCGCGCGCAAAACCGGAAAAATTAGCATAATTGGATAATCTGCTCATCGCGTACAATGTGTAACTTCTTAAGCCTCTTCTACAACATATTCAATGACTACGGCTTTAAGTTTTTTATATAAAAACGTTAAAACCATTAAAAAAGCTAAAAAGTAAAAACTATTGATTTACAGATGGCGCTTATTTTTAGTATCTATTAACATGATCACTTTTCGATTAGTTCAACCGCACTACTCGTTAAACAAGCAGCGTAAAGTGTAGTTAGCAGTGTTAAACGTGGAAATTCTGAAAATCTTATAGGGGAAATTCCCGTTGGTTCGTCGAATTGCTTATAGCCGCGATAAAACATCTGCGCTGCACATGTACATCGAGTGCACAATTACACAAGCATTCCGCAAATTGTAGAATCGACGAGAGCGTGAGTTTAAATCGGTCGAACCTGTTGGAAGATTCCAAGCGAAGTCGAAGCTAAAGTCGAAGGAGAAACTTAAAATACTTCAATCCGACAACACACTTCCTCTACCGGAATCGATTGTAAATTGGTAGTGCACTGAATATAACCCAAACTGGAGAAATAGTAAAGAAGTTTCTTTAAGTAGGTTAAACGCCGCGAGTATGGATTTCTGCGCAGATGCTGATGCCGAAGCCTGATTAATCTAACAAACATAAGTTCATTTTTCTTTCAATTAAAACTTAGCAATCGCTTCGATTTCACGCTGGAATTCAACTCGTTGGAAACACGTTTCGGGTGCTTATCTCTCATCGAAGTGTAATTGCTAATTGCCGGGTGGTTTTAATCGCTTTGTTCACGAGAGAAATTGAAACAATCGCAAATTCGGCGCGTTCTATCAGCGCGTTATAGTTTAGTATCAAGTTTTGAGGTGTTTTATGATTAATCAATCTCTTTTCGTTGTTTTTTTTTGTTTAACGCCATTCGGGTGATTCAGGTCGATTGTGTTGCCTTGTCGGTAAAACTACACCGTAGTAATAAAAAAATATCGAATCCAAGTCGCTCGCCTCCACTTTTCTTCGTTTTTTTTTCTCTTAAGGCGGACTTAATATTAACTGTATTGATGTCTGCACGAAACAACTCCAACTCACAACTCTGACGAACTGAGAACTCGAAACTGTGTTTTTTTTTTCTTCTTGTTGAAGTGTTCGGACCCTCCGTCGACCGAGAAAGTTGCTATGCGGGGACTGCTGGCCCGATCGAAAAAGCGCGCAGAGTGCGGGCGAGGAAATTCGATGCTAACCTCAAAATAACTAATTCAATCAGGAAATCCCGCAAAACTTCTTAAGAAATATACGGGATATATAGCGGCGCAATAAAGTGTTCCCGGCTTTTGGAGCTTTTCCTCTGTCATCGCAAAATGTCTTAGATTGAGAAGACACTTCAATAATTTTCTTCTCTTGTTACAAAACAATAGAAATATTAATTTATCGTTAATTTAAGTTGATTTTGGGCTTAACTTGGTGTTAATTCATGATGCAAATGCCCAAACACGACCGTCACGAATCTATGATGTTAATTTAATGCACCCTCGGTGGGAAATGCGGAAAAGCCGCGATAATCTATCACATATCGTGTTTTACGTGCGATCAAAGCGACGTCTATTGCAAAATGCAAAGCACATCCGTTTAATGTCGCATCAGCTCTTGATCATCGCTCATCGCACATCAACCAACACATCCCAATATTCAACTCATAATTTTATATTAATCAACACTTTTTTAAATTTATTTTAAAAGTGTTAATCTGCAGTTATTGCACAGTAGCTATAATATTTTATTTTGCAGGTTTAATGGCTTTGTTTATGCTGTGTATTTAATAGTTTTCATTTCACGATTCGATAAGAACGAGATCAGTATCAAAAAGATGGCGCATGATAAAACGGCGGAATGGTAGATGAGTAAAAGCGAGTTGGTTTTTGCGGAAACGAGCGGCGCCATTTGGAGTCGTAAAAGAATTGCATTCCGGTCGTCATCAACTCGTAAGCGAGCCTCGTAAAACCCAAACGTCAAGCATCTAAACCTGCACCCATCCGAACACACATCTACACCGACATTAACCTCCAAAAAACACTTTAAAAAACACGCCAATTTAATGATTTCATCAAGAAACTTAATTATAAACTAAAGTTTACACTCCGCGCATAATTTCCGCATTTCAAAATGTCTATTATGCGCTATTATCCACTAGATGGCAGTGCATGTCATCTGGCAGTGACACGTAAATATGTAGGTACGTGTGTGTACGTTGAGGAAATGGGAAATTACACGCGTGCAATAATTGTCTCCTCGTGTTTCCTGTCTTCGGCGCGTCCTCCCGAAGTGTTTGCTTTAATTTCGCTGCTCCAATCCCGCCTCGCCTTCTCCGCAGGCGACACATCCCGCGGACTATTCCTTGTGCTGCATTCTTACGTTACGACCGCTTTGGCGAACACGACACATCGCGACAATACATGACACAATGTCACACAACGTACAATACAACAGCACGCGGCAATGGCGTATGTGAGCCGCGGGGTTGTAGTCCTGAAGTCCTTCAATTTGACTGGCTGCAAACACACTTATGTAATTTGGAGGTAATGGGTGTGCTATTTCACACAAAACATAAAATCCACCATTGCACACTCACATAAACACAAAATGCGCATTATTATTATTCGTGTGTGCGTGCAAACACAAACACACTGTATATAAATGTTTTCAAGAGCTTCAACTCGTGTGAGTCATGTCACGTCGTGACGCTGACATCTCGAGCCTGGTGTTGTGGGTGTTGATGGTGGAGGCGCCTGTACCTACATCACCGGCGCCTCCACCATTCATATTAATGAAAATATTATAACATGACATGCTCGGTACACCCAAAGAGTGTAACTAAAAATTATTTTACGTAAATATAAATTTAATCGTGTTTCGTGTTTTGGGGTTTCGATATCGAATAAATCGTTTTCGGTAAAATGTGCTATCTAATCGAAATCCGTCAAAATTATCCACGAAGCAGGTCGCACGTGCCCGCGCCTACCTTCGTATAGAAAAAAAGAAAAGAAAAACAACCCGACAAGCACACAAATCAAAAGTATCGAGCTATAATCGTGAAATAACTTCCCGGAATATTGACTTGACTTGACTTGACTTCGTTTGAGCTGACTTTCCGTTCGTTTCCGACGTTTCCACCATCGGCATCGACACAAATAAAAAAATTGTTGTGATTTGTGACTGATTACACCGCGGCCTGGCATTCATTTCCATTTATCATTTTATTTACTATTTTTTCCTTCACAAAGTTGTTTTTCTTGCGTTTTATAAATGTATAATAATAGCATTAGAGTTAAATTGACAGTATTCCGATGTTATTCTTACATAATCACTAGTTATCTTCCATGATAGTTGATAACACTTTTTCTTGAAGACACGGTTATTATTTGACGTTTCTTGGAAATATCCAAGTTGTTTGTTAGAAATCAATTTTACGATGTTTAGTCGATGTTTGCATTGTCTGCGTTTCATGTTTATGTCTTGACGGTTTTTTTCACTTGAGAAATTGACTGTAATGGAATTTTTTCACAAGTTCCTGGAAAAAATACTTCATGTTCTTAATTTTTATCAATGAATGTTGTAAACTGTTGTTGTTACATGGAAATAATAACGTACTATTACAATCAGCCACGAACGCAATCAATCATAGAAAAAACTTTTTTATTTTACTTTCAAAGCACTCAAAACAAAACAAAAACACTTTTATCGTGTTTTTTTAGGTTATATTTGACAGCGATTAATAAGAATTTTGTGTATTGTACAATAAATGTAAAAAAACAATTTTTAGCAAAGCAACATATTTTTTCTGATTTTGCCATTAAAAAACCACTTTTTCTACGGTTTTGAAGCACAAAAAGTGGTACTTAAATCACGGACGGCCAAAGTTGTGACTAAAATACTTTAGTCACGGGTTTTAGTTACAGGTTCAGCAGTCTCTTATGCATTTATAACTTTACACTTTCTGGTAGTGTGCAAACGAAGTTTTGACACACTTAATACTTAATATGAATGTAATATGAATGCAATAATATTTCATTAAACACGATGGTGTATAATCTATTTCTAATGGCCTATTTATTTTCACCGTTTTACACGTGTATTGACCTAGTCAGCTAGTATTCCAGGAATTTCTCGTTGCCATCAGTATTTTCTATTCCTTTTTTCTTATTTTCAGGAAAATTCATCAATCATTACGACAGTCACGTCGGGGAATACCAAACGAACCGTGAGTAAATAAATACATCAACTTTATTCGCCCGCCGCCCGGTTAGCGGTTGTCTCACGGCGATGGCTGCGGCGGCGCGGCGTCTATATTCTACTCGACGCACATAGAGAGGATTTCGACGTCGCGACGCATATGCTATCGCCTTTAGGATGCCGCGCGAGAACTACTTGTCACTCGACGCACACGCCCTCCTCCTTCCGCGTTTTATTTACCGCGAAACATCGCCCGAATGTTTTATCACATCAATTTCCAACTTTTGTTTCCATTCGTTTTTATCATATATTCATACAATGTGTTCAACAAAAGTTGAACCAGCACCCGGAAGAAGATGTTGGACATGATTTTTTACAAAATTCACGAAATATCCGAAAATAATAAACTTATCGACAGTCGGTGATTTATTATATCGGCGCCGTTGGTAAAATCAATACGCACACGCAAAATACTCGTATACGGCGTTTGTATTGTGCTCCTGCTGCGAAAGTTTTTCACTCTCCGTTTTTCCGTGCGATGTGTTTACTGATTGACCTGTCCGCCGCGCCGAGGCGTCCAATCAAATCGGCTAATTTCCAATTCGCGCCGCATTCACTCCGACGCGCACCCGTTTAGAGCACATTTTCCTCACTCGCGCTGTACGCCCGACAATAGCTTGGTGGAGGCGCCCGAATCATAAAAGTGAATACATTATGGGTGAGAATTTTCCACGCTCAACAAAAAATATAGCTACATGCTTAAATCGGCATGTATGTGGCCGGAGAATGGGCGAGCTGAGGGAAAATAATTAATGCGCAAATAGGCCATCAATCACGTTTCGAAAAAGGAGCGAACGGCGAGCATATTGGGAATCGAATCGGTCCTTCGACGCTTACGCCCGTTTCCGTATTTTTTTTTGCGTTCAGGACATTGGCGAAATTTGTTCTGATACATCGAATCACCGAAATGGGGATTTGTGGTTTAAAGTTTTGCAAAGCAAAAGAATAATTAATGTTTTTTTGAAAAAAATTCAATATTGTGACTTTTTACATAAGTGGCTATTAAAATAGTCACTAGGAAGTTAATTATCCTTGAAAAAAGAAAGAAATTACCCATGACGATAATCCCAGCGTAAAAAGTCATTCCAACCTTATATTTGACGGCGCATATTTTTGAATTCGGAATTTTCCAAGAAATATGACGTTGAATGACTTTCTTATCGAGTTGTGAGTGCCGTCGAAACTTTGGAAAATGCTGAATAGTGGACTAATAATGTGCTTGACATTTATGTTCACATGCCGAATTCAAATCGACTTGAATAATGCACGAAGTAATTTATTTACATTGAACAAAATATTTTCATTTTAGTTTTTAATTGGAAAAAATAGTTTTGATCTCAATGTAATTTTATTTCAAACGATGGTAGTTTCATTGCGCAAAAATAAAACCAACAAAAGATAGAAAAGTGTTCTAGTCCTCATTAAAAATATATAACATTACGCCGAGGTGTGTGCACCGCATGCCGCATTGCACGTGGTCGAGGTAAAACCGCCAGAAATGTACATTGCGGTAAAACATCGCGGTGTGCAGAAAAAAACTGAAAAAAAAAGCGCCAAGTGGAAGAACATGCGATATACATTGCACACAACGCAAATGAACTCATTCTCTTCCATTAAATATTTGTGCCTGGAAATTGCAAACAAAATTTTTATTAAAAATATACAATAAATCAAAACAATTTAAATTTAAATCTATATTCACAAAAATAGAGAACTTTATTTTATCGGGATTATTTCTAGAGTAGATTTTATTTTTTGGTGTGAGTATCATGATCCTGATCGTGATCCAGATCGCACTCATCATATTCATCGCGATGGCAGAATCCATTATTTCATAGCCGCAAGTCCTGATTTAATGCACTCCGTGGTAGGAGTGAATCTCCACACACCTCCACCCCCGCCACTCTACTTTACTTCCGTGCGCCTCGCGTGTATTTTCTTGAAGAGGATAAAACGCGCGCGGATCTTTGCCTGCACGAATGATTTCACCTGTTCTCCATCCTTTGGCGCGAATTCGACTCCACACAGTCTCGAGGCGCGTAAGCTAATATTTTCTCTCGATTCTTGATTCACGTTTCGTGCGGATTCTGCGTATTCTCCAGTGTGCTGCCTCGATTTCAATATATCACCGGGTATCTCAGCGAAAAGCGAGAAAATCTTCCGCTGTATAGATTCGGCGCACGGCGGATGCGGAGGAAGAGGTGGAAAGTTTACTGTTACTCAATGTTTCAGCGTTTTCGACATTTCAGCATTTCAATGTTTCAACGCGACGCCGATTTTCGATCCGGTTCACGGGATATTATGTGCGCTCACCGTCGTTTCTTCGTTCTTCGACGTTTTTACGCGCGGAGGATGTTTGCGCGAATGTTAATATACTGTGTTTTCGTTCTACTATTTCAACAACTCAAGTATTCACAAAAAAAAAATTTCATGATGTAAAAGTTTAGTTACCATGCGTCTGAAAATATTTTTTACCCAGAAAAAGTTTCGGTTAAAGAAAGAAATGATCTGAAAGTCGGTCACGCACAAACAATTAATAACGCTCATTAATCATCGTGTAAAAATGCGTAAAGTTTGTATCACAACTTTGTTTGATAACTAATTATGCTGACTAGTGTTTTTTTACGGACATAAACTTTTCAGACCACTCTTGGACACACAAACTTGACTAGAATTTTTTGATTTTGTGGTAAATTGTGAAATTCTCCACTTTGCGCGTGTTTTTGCAGCTTTCCTCGAACTATAAGTGGTGTTTACTTGTTGGTGGCTTGTTGGTAAGCAGGATTCTGATATTGAGGGTAAAAGTTATGCGAACACAACACGCGAAACTTGATAATTGCCCGCCGAGCGAACGAAGCGAGCCGGGGCGTGGGGAACATAAGTTCGGATTAGTCTGTAAAGTTTCGCTTTAATGAGTCATTCATAAATAATTTCTTCTTTTGCGTACCGCTTGCGCGCGCGCCCATAAGTCATTTAAATTCCAGAAATTCAAGTCGTTAACGACCGCGAAAGTAAACAGAATCATCAACAGATTAAGAAAATTACGAAACGAATTACGCGCGTTGCGCATAAATATAAATTGGACTTAACTAAGCACATAAAAATATTCCGAGCGGAATTAATTAATTACGAGTAGTCCAGTTAACATGTTTGCTACAATATAGGTAATACTTGCTCACTTCAATAGCGTGATTGTATTTTATTCGAGCGTAGAACGCAAATATCAGAAACGTCGCCAACTATTTGCATAATTATTAGCACACGGAGCGAGAAATTGCTCGGAATTGAGAATTGGCCACTCGAAACACACGCCGAAGAGCAGAAAGCCTAATTATATTTACTTTGCTTTATTACGATTATTAAGATCGGCGTCGAATTGCTAGTTAAATCTCCCGCAGCTGGAGAAATTGCAGCGCGATACTCGTATTAGCGCAAGAATAGTCCTTATTCAACTAGACAATAAACTCGAAACGTACTCCTATGGAATTGTGCATCCAATATGTATAAATAGCCAAAACTAGGACAACATTCCAATAGCAAATTCAAATGATAATATTTACTCATTGCTCTTACTAAACTAATTTTATCTAATAACTCCAGGAAAACTACACCGATTTTGATCAAAATTTAAGGATATATTTAGATTAACACCCTAGATGATTTTGTGAAATTTGGTACAGAAATAATAACTATAAGGCTGTTAAATAAGGATTGGAAGTTGATATATAGATTTTATCATAGTTTTAGTTACATTATTCAAATGTAGATGGCGTTGGAGTATAGAATTGTCATTTTTATTTGCCTAGAATAAAATTGAGGTTCATATGGTATAAGATAGTATATAATAGATGGCGTTGGTAGTAAATATTCGTTGTTTATTTTGTTTTTAAATGTAGACGTCAAGGTTTCATGCTGTACAGGCTGGAAAGTTTGAAATTTGAATAAAATTTGAGCGGTTTGTTAAATCTGCGGGTGTGGTAGGACGGTGTGAGTGCGAGGTGGTTGAATAACGAGATGTAAATTGATTCCGCCGGCTCCCGGGGACAGAAATTGCTGAACTTTACCTAAGATGAATCATCTAAATTGGAGCTTGGTTAACCTGGTCCCCGTCCCCGTTATCCTTCACCATGTTTTTTTGTGTGTTGAGAAATGAATCAAGGACATACATTTCGCGGTTGTGGTTTCGGCAATAAATTGTTTCGGAAGACTCCAAAATGCGAATCAAAGTAATTTTTTGAGTTGGCGAAACTTTCGCTGAAACTCATAATTTTTTACGCCGGCGTCTAATTCTAATCCGGGAAAAGTTTTAATTTTTCCTGCGTCGGCGGTGGCGCAAACTCGGGAAATTCAGAAAATTACATAATTCCTTCGTTAGGCGCGGCTAATTTGCAATTTTCCGAGCGAACACAAATTCGAAATGCGAATTTGTGAATTGTGAATTGTTTCGATTTGCGCCGCGCGGAAAAGTTTCTGCCTCTGGCTGGTGGCGTTTGTGGTGGAAAGGGGTAGACGGGTGAATTATGGAGCTTCCTTAATGCGGCGGCTCGAGAATAATAACAAAATACGTTCGACGTCGTGCGCGAATTGTTTGTCTAACGATCGGCACTTAAGGCAGGCCTTTTAAAACAATAACGGTAATCTCGTTCGTTTATTTCCGGCGCGAATCATTTGCGAACGAAATGGTTAGACAACCACCAAGGCGTAGATTTACAACGAAAAGGTAATGAGGGTATTATGTTATTAAAATGCATGCAACGCCATCTAGTGCGGATATCACGAACGAGAGATAGTTTGTTTATTTTCTGGCTGAATTTGTGTTGAGTGCGGAATATTGACGGTTCGGTCGGCGGGCGGTTGGCGGTGAGGATTTTTATTGCCTTTACCCAATCAAGATTTCATTATAGATAGCGTAAATTTTAATATCGGATTCAATTTCGGCGTCGACGACGCTCGTCCCGCATGCACATG